ATCTCTGAGACACCCAGAGTGGCCAGCGCCATGTCATGCAAGCAGCAGTCCTTGGCAAAGGCTGTCTATTGACAAAGGGTTTACCACAGGACGGTAGAGCCTTCCATAGTACATGGGGGCACTGGAAAGTTCCTGGTCCCTCTGGCCAGCCTAAGGCAGGGAGCCTGCCTTCCCTGTCCAGGGGAGCCCACCACAGTCACAGACCATGAAACGTAGCACAGCCCATGTCGTTAGCCGGAGCCAAGAGCTGCTCGAGCCATGTGACACAGCAGAGGGAAGCTGGCAGTCCCGGAGGAGCTGCTCTCCACTCCCTCCAGCTCCAGGGGGGCAAAAAGTGTTCCCTTTTCCATTGCTTAAGATGCTTCCAATGGTAACAGGCTGAACACCATGGACAGGAGAAGACAAAAGCCCCATGAACATGAGTGAGGAGCAGAGAGGGGCTGTGTGTGTGTGGAGGGTGTACAGGCAAGAAAGTGTGACTACGGGACCGGGCAGTCAGCTACATATGACCCTTTGAACAAACAATGAAGATTTGACAAGATCTGACAACAAACAAACAAGATTTGACCAAAATCAGAGCCAACGTGTCCTGCCTGGCAGGGCCCCTTCATTCCTCCTGAAGCCCTCGTTCTGCAGACGTGGTTCCAGGCGGTGCTGCTCGATGGGGACCATCAGAGGCAATGCCCAGTGCTGGCTACCCCAACCCGGTCCCAGACAGGCCCCCTCTGCAGGGCAACAGCAGGGGCCAAGAAGAGGGCGAGGAGGCCACACTCTGTGAGTTGCAAAGGGCTACAAGGGTACAAGAGGCTGAGCACCCCGGCCTGGACATCAGAATGGGCACAGGCCCCAGGATCAGAACCCTGAATTCCCGAACTCAGAGGGGTGCCAAGCCTCTAGCTACTCACTTCCCTCTCCTGTCAAGTGGGGGAAGCAACTGTCTCGAAGCTCTTATGTGGCTGCCTGAGGTCCATGTGAAAGATCAGACACCAACGGGCTTGGAAAACTACATCGGATCTCACCCGTGCGAGCTGACGACACTGGCTGGACGTTGACAGGTGACATGCCTTGGCTTTGTAAGGACCACCTCTGGCCCAGTAAAGCTACGCTTGGGGAGTATCATAAAGAAAGACTTCTAATCAGAGAGAATAATCATTATGCATGTGACAAGCATCTAGCTAGCTGAGAACAGGGAAATGATAAAGTGATAAAATGATAAAGTTTCATCTACTCCATGGAATTATTCGAAAAATTTTCAAAGACTATAATTACACAGAAAATGGTGATGTGTGCCATTATCTACAGAAATCACCACACAGCTTCACTTGTACCATTTCTTTCATTTTTCTGTTGAAATGAAGGCTCAATTTCATATCTTGATATATAAAAATGACTCGTTGATTTGAATATACCACATAATTCCTACTTTGACTAAATTTTTAAAAAGCTACATGTTGGGAATATGCTAGAAGAAGATAAACAATTAACAGTGATGATGTTTATACAGTAGCAAAGAGATAACTTTTTTCTATTTTAATGTCATTTTCAGATATTCTTTTATGAATAACTGTTACTTTTAAAATAGAAAAAGAAGTAAACATTTTAAAAGTAGTTTAGGCACAGAAGGGTGACACTTATGCTACAGGAGAGGGGAGAGGAGGTTAAGCCACAGAAATAATCGGGATTTCTGGGGCAAACAGCAGACAGGCCCTCGTGAGACACAACTCCGAGGGGCACAGGCCTGTCTGACCCAGCCTTCCTGGGTAGGAGCAGGCTCCATTCTCACTTTCCTGGAGAAAAAAACGGATGCCATGAAAGCAGCGAAATGGCCAAAGTAACAAAGATACAGCAATTACACTAGAACAAAACCATCAACCACAGCACAAAGCAATAGTCATCTCTAGGATTAAAAAAAAAAAAATCAATACAAAAAAGGCAGCAATAAAGAATGAAGACAAACTCAAGACAGCACTAATGATGACTGGAAATAAAGTGTCCCTCCGAAAATGGCAGGAATTCCAAGTGATCTGCCCCGTAGGAACTCCGAGAGGCTGCCAAGCACCATGCGGCAGCAGCCAGACTTCCTGGCAGAACACGCCCCAGACACCACAGGATCCACAAGGACTGCTCGTTTTATTTTACGACTATCAGATTTTAGTAACTCCCAATAACTCTTTTCTTAGGAAGCAGATCTTGGGCATATGTAAAAATAAACCTCTGGAAGCACATTATCATTCGCCTAAAGAACCCAAGAAACCACTGGGTGTTTGGGTCTGCCCAAGGCACATCTAAAACAACGGCTTCCCCACCTCCTGACACAGCCCCTCAGAGGGCCGGGGGCCATGCCTGGAGGGACCCAATGATCTAATCCATCTGCTGCATCCACTGCAAAGCTCCCACAGAAGCTTTTTCTCTGCAGACATCGCCCCCCTGAGCTATGCCAAGCTATCGGGCAGGGCTACATCAGAGGGCCAGAGCACCCTCCTGGAGCGATTCTCACTGCGGAAAAGCTGGAGGAGAGGCAGCCGGAGCCCAGCTCTTGTCATCTGTCCTGCACAATTCACTGCCTGGCTCTCCTATAGCTGTGAAGCAGCAGTATCTTCTCTTCCCTGGCAAACCACAAGGAGCCGTATTTCACCTCCGTCGGGCACCCCATATCATAACCTGACCTAGAGTTCATCACAAGTCAGCAGGGACCTGCTAGCTGACAGAGAGAGAGAGGCGAGGGAGGTCAGGCACGCCTCCCCCAGGACACGCCTCCCGTGTCCTTTGGCAGTTCCTCAGCCACGGCATTTCATTCAAGGCCAATCATGCAAGCGCAACAATAGGACTGGTCAGGCCCCAAAGGCCCATCTTGTTGAGTCATTTCAAACTTGTTTAGCCATGGAACCCTTTGATCAAATAGATCCTATGCCAAAGCCTGATATACAGAGCAGATCAAGACAGATGGCCAGGAGTGGGGTGGGGGTGGGAGAGAGACGTGGGATGAGGGTAGAACTCCTCTATCCTGGCTCCCAGGAACTATAGAAACCCCTGGGGCTGTGGTCCCCAACTCCTGGTCTGAGGTCTGTTAGGAACCAGGCCGAACAGCGGGAGATGAGTGGTGGGAAGGCGAGTGAGCGAAGCTTCATCTGTATTTGCAGCTGCGCCCCATCACTCGCATCACCACCTGAGCTCCGCCTCCTGTCGGATCAGCGGCAGTATTAGATTCTCAACAGAGCGCAAACCCTATTATAAACCGTGCATGCGAGGGATCTAGGCTGCATGCTCCTTATGAGAATCTAATTCCTGATGATCTGAAGTGGAGCTGAGGCAGTGATGCTAGCCCTGGGGAGGCTGCAAATATAGATTATCATTAGCAGAGAGGTTTGACTGTACAATAAATGTAATGAGCTTGAATCATCCTGAAACCTTCCCACCCCTGCCCTGGTCCATGGAAAAATTGTCTTCCATGAAACCAGTCCCTGGTGCCAAAAAGGTCGGGGACTGCTGCCCTAGGGATTCCCATCAGCCCTGGGCTCTTCAGAATGCAAGCTGAAACAGCTCACTGGTGCAGGGAGCAGTCCTTCATTTTACAGGTGGGGAAACTGAGGCCAAGAGAGACCAAGTGGCTCAGCCAAAGGCACATGAGTGGTTAGTGGCAGAGCTGAGACCAGCACCCACATCTGTCTTCCCCTCCAACGTCTAAAAGAGAACCAGCTCTCCTCCAGTGTGAGCTGCCCACAGCTCCTGCACGGTGCCCGCCCAGCGAGGTCACATATGGGCCCCCTGAAGGGGCAGATGTAACTGCTGTTTGTAGAAGTGGGCCTCCATGCCAGGCAGACCTGGGTTCACACCCCAGCTCTGCCACTTAAGCGGCTGTGTAACCCTGGCAGGTTACGAAAGTCCTCAGTCAGCGCCACCTGTAACGGGATGGGTGGGAGGGCCTGGTGAACCAACAGAGCTGCTCCTGGCTCGCTGCAAAGGGTCCCAAATGCAAGCGCTTCTGCCTGTGCCCTTCGGCGAGCTCATCTTCTCTCTCCCTCAAGCTCCTGCTCAGTGAAGCCCCCCGAGCCCTTGCCTTCAACTAAGAGAACACTCAGAGGCCTCCATGGTGCTGGAACTTGTCCGTGGAGACAAAGAGCCAGCCTGAGTGGGCGGCCTGCTTTTCCCTGGAGTAGGACAACCTGCCGATGGGAAGCGAGCTTCAACTTTCAACTCCGAGTTCCTGGTTCACCAGGCCCCTCCTCTTTCAATTCTGGCCTGCTGGGCCGGAACAGCAGGCCTCCCCCAAATGGCCTGGCTGTCTCCTGGGCTATCAGGGCCTGCCTGGTCTGGAAACCATTTGGATAACAGCCACAGTTCAGGTAATTGCTACCCCAAGGCCCCAAACACCCCTTCTCACCCCTAAGAGGCTCAGGTCATGGTCCACTGTGGCCAGAAACTGGACAGTATCCACAGCTCCAGACCAATCAGGGGTCACTGGGAGGAGAAGCCAGAAGCCAGGACATGCCACAGCTGCACCTCTCCTTTCCCGGCGGGACAGAAGACCAAAAAAGCCTTTTAATTGTGCATCAGAGTTTCACAAAAAAGTCCTACTTGGTCATAATTTGTACCTTTCACATCTATATTTGATATTTTAAAATTGGGTAAGTACAGGTTCGAACTAGAAAGAATGGGATCACAAATTTTGATGGAGAATCATCTAGTACAACCTGCCATTTTTCAAATGAGCAAACTAAGCCTGTCAGGGCGCAGGCAAGGGGGAGAGCCGGGAGGAAGCCACGCTGAGAGGCGCACACTGCACAACTCACACTGTCCTCGTAAACACAACCCAGGGCCCTGCGCCTGCTTCTCTGTGCGGGAAGCTCTGTGGCACACAGGGCTGGGCTGGCTCCCTCGCCGTCTCCTTCACGCTGCAGGGGAGCTCTTCCCTCTGACACAGGCACCAGCGGTGTGGAGCCAGGGAAATGGATACAAAAGCTAAACGTGCAGAAGCTATTGCTCCTGGGAGCCCAGGTTACCTTTGGGCATGATCTGATGCATGGCGATCGAGAGGAAGAAGATGGAGTCGCTGTAGTAGGTCCCCGAGCCGGCACTGAAGTGCTTCTGCATGGCCTCCACGATGGGGAAGAGCTTGTCCGTCAGCACAGCGACATCGTGGAAGATGACCTGCAGCAGGGCGCAAGAAAACCACAGGACTCAGCACGTCAGCTCTTGCCCTGAGCTCAAGACCCAGTGCACACCTGGGCCAGGGAGCAGAGGCAGACAGCGCCTCTCCAGGGCCCCTGAGCAGGGGACGAGGGTGGGGGCGGCAACGGAGAGTCAGGGAAACGAGGAATGATGGTGAGTCAGGGTCCAGGCTGCGCAGAGGCTGGCTGTGGGGACAGGGACAGCCTGGCGTGAGGTGTGCAGGTATGCTGTGGGGGTGCACGGCAGAAGAGGAGCGGGAGGGAGGAAGGGAGCAGGCACAGTCTCCAGTCTGCTTTCTGCTCTGGAACTTCAAGCTGGGCCACGCGGAAGGTAGAAACCATGTTAAATTGTCATGTCCTGGAACTCAGGATCTTCGGCATGTCTGGGTGGCTCCAGGCATCACCAGGCATCGCCACCCCCCGGTGGCCACTACATGTGTCCACAGGCCAGGCAGGCGCCCCAGCTCCACCTCCCTCATCCGAGAGTGGGAAAGTGAGAGGATCTGGTCCCTGGAAAATGGAACCCGGAAAATGCTCAGTGCGGCAGGAAACTCATCCTCCCTCTCAAACAGCCTTTCTCGAGTGTCCCAGACACTCTGGGGGTGCTGAGAAGTGAGAAGGATAAGGAATAACCAGGTACCATTTTCCTCAGCGCCCTCAGAAGTCTAGAGGTGCCCCCAGCGGCTGCTTGGAGCTTTGCGGTTTACAAAACACTCACACACATACAGATCCCCAGGACCCCAGGGAGGCAGATGTCACCGTCACAGCCTCCGAAGAACGAACAAACGAGAGAGCAGACGCTCGGCGAGGCCATGCGCACCCAAAGTCACACAGCTAATAAGGGCAGTCAGACCCGGCCCTGGGTCCCGACTGCCAGGCCCACATCTTTCCACCACAATCACATCCTTGTTCCTTAACAGTGGCCAACAGAGGAGGGAGACATCGCCATTAGAGTAGACAAGAGTGCTAACGGGCCCTGGTCAGTTTTCCTCGTCAGACACTATTCCAGAAGCTCAGAAGTGTAGCCCCCGCCCCACGAGCTGCTCACATGTGTCTTGCGAGTCTTTCCTGTTGCTCCACCTGCCGCCACAGAGTCTAGGTCACTCCCCTGCACAGAAAAGCCCCCAAAACAAGAACCCCCGCCGTCCCCCCCCCCCCCTCCTCCTCCTCCTCCTGCTTCCTGCCCCTAAGAGCTCTGCAAGTGACCGCCCCCGCACCCCCCACCCTGGTAGCTTCAGGACAGGACAAGCCTGCCGGGTTGCCACCTGGGGCCCAACCACTACCACACCTGCTCTGAAGAACCCACCCGAACATGTACCAGCAGCAAAAGGTGAAGCTGTGAGAACCCCCTGACTGGCCTGTTGACGCTGTCACTGGCCCTGCCTCAGGGAGACAGGACAGGTGTGGGCCGTCCCCAAGAAGCTCTCCAACAGGCGGGCTCTGCCTGTCACTTACCTCTGCCCTTTCCCCCAACCCTCCCGCCCAGTCCCACCCTGTCTGCTCTCCCCAGTTTGGGCTCTGCTTTTGGCCTGGATTTCCCTTATTTCTCATATTTCTTATATACATATCTCTTACTATCTTATTTCTCTTTAACCTACATTTATTTCTCTTAGCTCATGTAAGCCTTGCTTTTGTCCTTAGCTTTTATTAAATGTCTAAAACACTATTAAACTTAAGGAAACTTTTATCTGGCATTGGTCCTCATCATTCCATAAAACGTGTTTTATGTAACTCTTTAAATCTTTTCTCTCTTTATAAAAGCCTTTTAAAAACTTCTTGACATTTCTCTTCTAATGTACTGTTTTCCTTTTTCCTTTTTTCTGGCTGCTTTTTTTCTTTTTTGTAGCCTCTCAGCCTCAGAGAATCCAGATCAGTTCCTACTACTTCCCAACACAAATCCCAAATTAAGTCTCTCACCCCCCACACCCCTGCTCCCTCCAGCCCCTGCCCCTGTACTTCCCTGACAGGTTTCCCCACCTCCTGCCTCACCCCCCTCCAAAGAGCCTCTGTTGTACCTCTGGAGTCATTTCCAAATATACAAATTCATCTCTCTCTCTCCTTGGCTTCACAACCTCCGGTGGCCCCTCCTTGCCCTCAGCTACAATCTAAATTTCCAGGGCTCCGGTGACCTCTCCTGCCCTGCGCTCCTCTTGGGAATAGGCAGAACTGAGCCAGGCAGCCCCTCTCCTGCCAGCCACAGCTGTATGTCCTTGTATATCTGCACTTGCTCTTCCCACCGTCTGCAACTCC